GAAGAAATTGAACCAACAGCCTCTTCTTCCCTTACCCCCTTAAATTTTTGGCTCTAATAACTATCCTACTTTTGTATTTTTTTCACATTGGTGCTTATACTAGCTAGAAACATCTATAACTTCTAGGGGAAGAAAGGGAGTTATCAACATTGAATGACTTATGGATCACTATTAAATTATTCTTTGTAGCTTTTAATATCTTGGGTACAGCTAAGTGTACCAAAGCAATTTTAAGAAAAACAGAGTTTAAAGTCAAAATAAATTGTGTAATGCTGGGCCAAATAAGTTATGTTTATTTACTGTGACTTCTCAGAAACTTTAAAAGCCAATGTGGGTGGTGAACTTCCTAGACAGGAAGAGTTTTCCAAACTTATTTGACTATAGAATCCTCTTTTCAGAGACTGACACATTAGGGAACACATTTAGGGAAACAACACATTGTTTCAATGAGTCATTCTTCATGGCTTTTTAATTATGTATCACCATATTTGTTTCTTCCCTTTTTGCAGCAGTTTTTATAAGTTAAATAAGAGAAAGCAATATTAAAGATTAAAGATTTATATTTGGCAATATATTTCCTTTTGGTAAGGCTCCTTTTTACTTCTTGTAACAAGCCGACCTCAGAATCATAAATTGTTTTTTAAGATTATTTTATATGAGAAATAATAAATAAGATTTTAGTTTAAACATAATTTAATTAAATAGTTCATTTCCCGTTAACTAAAACTTCTGAGATTTTTTTTATGGACACATGGCACTGGGCATAAGAAGTCTCCCATTTTCTGCTTTTTTCTTTTCCCTTTATAACATTTGTAGAATCAATATGAGGGGGAACGCTAAAAAACAGTTTTATAATGGTGGTAGGTTTTTTGGGGGGGTACAGGGACTGTAGAGAGATTTAGATAAAACATCTGTTCAAAAACACTAATTAAATATAAACTTACTACTTAAATTAAGTGCTTGCAAATACTATATAAATATCATTACTACCTTTTATTGTGTTATCTTTTGAGAATGCTATACCTAAATTGGGAGTACATATGTATACTCTATAACTACATTTCTCTTTTAGGAAGCATATAGAATACGTTTTAAAGCAATGACATGTTTTCAAATTTTCAGGTTAATTTTTTAACTATCAGAAAGCTCATGGGTAGATTAATTTTTACTGAAGTGAATAGAAATATAGTAAGCTCATGTCCAGTGTCATCAGGGTGTGAGGTTTTCAGATGATTTTTTTAGACAATACAGCATATAATTTTAAGTACTAAGATTTCAATGAAGATAGCCTTTTTATTGAGCATATGCAGCTTAATTTAATTCTTTATTTTCTGTCTTGGTTTGTCATGATGTCTTACGGGAGCTGTAGCTGTGCTTGCCTCTTCCCCCCTCCCCTTTGTAAATTTGTGTTTTTTAATTTTTATTATTTTAAAGATTAGTTAGAATAATGCTAAATGTAGAAACATATATATGTAATAAGAATACCCTTTTAAGAGTCATGATCTTTGTTGGTATATATTTTGGCTCTTTACAAAGTCTTTCAAACCTTACCTGTTTCCTCCCCCACCCACTTCCCTTTAGTTTTAATTGTTGGATGGATGAGTTTTGGAGAATTGAGCTTTTTAAAAAATTTCTTATGATATTGTAGATTTACTTTTATTCCATGTAATAGGGGAAACTGTTATTATATATATATATATATATATATAAAATAGTTGCCACTTAAATCAAGAAGTATTTACTTTTTGTGTGAAAACTGTATGGATTATATTTTTATATTTTGTTTTAGCAGCTTAAGTGCCATTTATATATTTTATTAAGAGGTATATACTTTTTGAATTTTAATACATTGTTATATGTAATTTTCCATGCTTAAAATATTAAATAATTGGTTCCAATTGATTTAGTATATGTTTGAAGTATTGGGTTATTAAGCTAGAAAGTTTTGAATGGTATATAATTAAAAGTTATATTACAATGTATTTTAATATTTAAATTAGTTTCATAAACTAACATTTTGATGACTTTAATTTGCAAAATTTAGTTTTAAATTTAAATATATAAATTCTATTAGGTTTTCAAGTACTAACCAGGCCAAACCCTGCTTAGCTTACAAAATCAGATGAGATTGAGCCCATTCTGGGTGGTATGACTGTAGACATCCTATTAGGTTATTAGAGTAGTACGTTGAATGTTTAGAGAATAAATGTTTTAGAAGATAATTGCTATTTTGTTTTAAACATGATAGCTAAGTATTAATAGTTTTTTAAAAGATCATACTTTCTAGTGCAGTGGTCGGCAAACTCATTAGTCAACCGAGCCAAATATCAACAGTACAACGATTGAAATTTATTTTGAGAGCCAAATTTTTTAAACTTAAACTGTATAAGTAGGTACATTGTTATTAACTTAATTAGGGTACTCCTAAGGCTTAGAAAGAGCCACACTCAAGGGACCAAAGAGCCGCATGTGGCTCGCGAGCTGCAGTTTGCCGACCACGGTTCTAGTGGAATTTACCTGTGGTTTCACTTGTAGACAAACAGAATGTACTTTATAATTTTAGCACAGTTTGGTGAAGAAAGGAGAGGGATCTGTACTTTCATTGAGCAAATTATGTATGTAAATGAATTTTAAATATAATATATATGTATTTTGCCATGAGGTGACAAGAATTAACTATAACCATTCAAATACAATATATAAGATTATAATCAAAGTAGAGTCTATGTTATTTTACTTTTTAAAATATCATTTGAAATATTTATGAATTTTAATAGGATCATACTTATAAAAAATCTTCAAAAGACATAGCCTCTTCTTGGGTAACCCCTAAATAGACATGGGCGGGGGGGAGATCAAGTTTGTCCTACTTTATTTTATGATAAAGTTTTTTATATACAGGTCTGTACTAGACATGTGTTTCATTTTATTTTTAAACAAAGAACATTTGTAAATTTGGAAATTAATGTAAAGCTGTAAATTGAATGAAGTGACCTGGCTAGGTCAGTAATCTCTTCAGTCAACAAAATGATTACAAGATAACAACATCTGGTTAAATCAAAGATAGTGAAGTACTTAAGGTATAAGATAAAACGTGCAATTTGTCTTTAATATTGCCACTCAAGAAGCTTAACCCATTTGTAGGTTACTAAATGATACAGGTTTTTACTTAACGTTTTAACACAGAAAATTTACTCTAACAGAGCTGAATGTTAAATTTGGTAGTAATTGGTTCTTGTTTTTTGATTATTTATTGTATTTATCCCTTCTCTATCCTATATAATAAAAGTCTAATATGCAAATTGGCCGAACGGCAGAACGACCAGTCACTATGACACGCACTGACCACCAGGGGGCAGATGTTCAATGCAGGAGCTGCCCCCCAGCCCACAGGCCCCAGGCCGGCCAAGGCAGGTGCCAGTGGGGGCCCCCCGATTGCCCCACAGATTGGCCCTGATCGCCAGCCAGACCTAGGGACCCTACCCATGCATGAATTTTGTGCACTGGGCCTCTAGTAGTTTAATAATATTATAGTAAGGTTTTTGTTTTATTTTTTAAACTGGGATAGACCCAGGCAAAAGAAGACAATTTTATCTCCCTAAATATGTGGCCACAAAGGCTAATCCAGAGAAAAAGATACTTGGGATTTAGCTTAATGTTTGTTTATGTACGGATTTTGTTTTACTTAAAAAAGACTTGTGCCCATCTGGGTGTAGCTCAGCGGTTGAGCGTCGACCCAGGAACCAAGAGGTCACTGGTTCGATTCCCGGTCAGGGCATATGCCCAGGTTGCGGGCTCGATTCCCAGTGGGGGGCGTGCAGGAGGCAGCCGATCAGTGATTCTCTCACATCATTAATGTTTCTATCTCTCTCTCCCTCTCCCTTGCTCTCTGAAATCAATAAAAATAAATTAAAAAAAAAAAAGGACTTGTTACTAGTGTTAGCATATGAAAAGGCATAGGTCTCTTTTCGGGACTTAAATGTACTTGTCAAAATTCATTTACCAATGATTCTTGAGCTGTAGGCTGTTTTAGTTTGGTTGATTATTTGAGTAATACCCATTTGCTAACACTCTGCAGGTACCTTTATATAATTATTGTCTTCTTAATAATTATATAAAGTAAATGGTTCCATTTAGTGAAACTAAAACTCAGGGAATTTAAGTGATTTCTGAAGGTCATATTGCTGGTAGATAGCAAAGGTAGATTTGGGACCTAGAACTCCTGGTTCTTAATCTCTAGTTGTTTTTCATCAGAGTTAGAATTATAAATTGGGTCCTAATTAATATGATAAGATCTAGGAGGAAAGATCATTCCCTGTGGCCTTTTAGACAAATCAACCACTGGTGATGGTTAAATGTAATGTTTTCACAGTATGTACTTTTGAAAATTCTGATAAAAACAATATAAGCCATTTAGAAAAATTTAGATATATAAACTTTTGAATATAATTACAGTGGCATCATTGAGCAAATAATGAACTCATGTATTATAAGAAGTTATGCTCAGTTGTCTAAAAGTATGCTGTTTAGCCCTGACCGGTTTGGTTCAGTGGATAGAGCGTCGGCCTGCGGACTGAAAGGTCCCAGGTTCGATTCCGGTCAAGGGCATGTACCTTGGTTGCGGGCACATCCCCGGTGGGGAGTGTGCAGGAGGCAGCTGATCAATGTTTCTCTCTCATTGATGTTTCTATCCCTCTCCCTTCCTCTCTGTAAAAAATCAATAAAATATATTTTTTTAAAAATAAAACTATGCTGTTTATCTCAGCTGTTTTCGTAAGCTATGCATAGGCATTAGTAAGGAAAGGTAAAATAGCTTGATTTAGTGCAGATGTTTATTTTTTTTAGTTATTTATTTTTTTTTACTGTTTGTAAAGGTTTTTTGTTTTGTTTTGCTTGCCTCACATTATGTTCAAATATTTTTGGACAATATAATTTAGTGTTACACAGTGAGAGCAAATATTATCTTATGTATAACTTTTAATGAATTCCATATCCTTCAGGTAAAAAGAACGTATTCTCACGGTACTTACAGAGCTGGCCCAATGCGACAAATCAGTTTGGTAGGAGCAGTTGATGAAGAAGTGGGAGATTATTTCCCTGAGTTCCTTGATATGTTGGAAGATTCACCGTTTTTAAAGGTAAGAGGAAAAAAATATATCAAGCAATCTAAATTGTGGGTGTTACTTTTATGCTACAGGTGATACAGATGGTTGTTTCAGAATTCTAACATTTTTTATTTTATTTGAATTGGAGGGAAGGAAAGGAAGAGATGAGAAATTAAATTCTAGTGTAGTGTATGTTTATGACTTCTCTGGTACTAATTGTAATGGCAGAGCTAAGTGGGGGACCAGAAAATAACACTTACCTGTTACTGCCACTTTAGGAAATTAAGTTTCATCTGTTTATTAGCTATAGACAGAATATTAGGGGATTTAAGAAGTACAGGAAGGATGTATAAGTGCTTAGGAAAAGGGAATGGCCATTTGGCATTGTGGAAAACTGGCCTGGGAAATTGTACATCTGTATTTCATTCTTTTTTTTTTAAATATGCTTTTATTGATGAGAGAGAGAGAGAGAGAGAGAGAGAGAGAGAGAGAAACATCAGTGATGAGAGAGAATCACTGATTGGCTGCCTCCTGCACGCCCCCTGCTGGGGACCAAGACCACAACTGGGGCATGTGCCCGGACCAGGAATCGAACTGGTGACCTCTGGTTCATGGGTCAATGCTCAACCATTGAGCCACACCGGCCAGGCTGCATTTCATTTTTGGCTATACCTAGCTGGGTTGGGCAAGCCATTTTTGGACTTCATTTTCCTCATCCATAAAATAGGCATTTAAAATATGTAGCTTAACCCTAAACGGTTTGGCTCAGTGGATAAAGCGTCAAGCCTGTGGACTGAAGGTCCCAGGTTCGATTTCTGTCAAGGGCACATGTCTGCATTGCAGGCTTGATCCCCAGTGGGGGACATGCAGGAGGCAGCTGATCAATGATTCTCTCTCATCATTGATGTTTCTATCTCTCTTTCCTCCTTCTTTCCTCTCTGAAATCAATAAAGATATAATAAATAAATAAATAAATAAATAAGTAAGTAAGTAAGTAAGTAAGTAGCTTAAGGTCTCTTTAAAGTCTTTAAATGATTTCTAGCTAGAGAAACCTCTGAGCTAGATTATTTAATTAGTAACTTAAAGGTTAAAATGTGACAAGATTAGTGTATCACAGACAATAGCGTGGTGAAGGCCTTGGGGCAGGGGGTGCAGAGATGGGGACAGGAATGGGCTAGAAGGGATCAAAGGGGGGAAAAGGGACATATGTAATACTTTTAACAATAAATATTTTTAAAAAAAAGATCAGTTTATCACTACTGCTGCCTCTTAATCTGTTGAACATGCTTTTTTTTTTACTTCTGCTTGCTCAATTTTCTAGTCTATATGTATGTGTGTGTATGTGTGTATTTTTTTTCACCACATTTTATTTCCCTTTCAGTTCCTTTTTTATTCTTTTGAACTTTATATTTCTTTTCTATTTCTCCCAACTAGTGATATCATGGAATTTGGTTGCATTTGTATTGAATGGTATTTTAAAAATACTATTATTTAAATATTTTTTTGAGATTTTTAAATTAAAAACAAATGCATTCTTTCTGGAGAAATTTAATTTGACAATTCTCCCCTTTTTGAAAAGGGGTATGGGATGGTTTTTTTTTTTAATGCCATTGTCACCATTCCATGGACTCTTTGTCATTTCTTTCTTTTTTTCCTCAAAGATTTTAATCTCTGCTTTTTAATCCAATAATTTTTTCAAGCAACTACTAAACAGAAATAAATTTTGATTGTGTTTTGGTTTTCCTCTTTGTACTAGGCTTTGATTATAACTAATCAAAGAGGTATCTGTTTATTTTTATAGATTCTCATGGACAATACTTGCATATTTTGGCAACTTATTAACATATTTGGTAAAAGGAAGAATAACAAATGATGAGTATAGTGAATCATGTTCATGACAGGGTTGGGGGAGGAAATCACACCAAAATAATTATTCTCTTTGTGTGGTTGGAATAGAATTTTTGATGGAAAATTATGCATATGTAGGAATATATTCAATATAGGTATATCTTTCAAAGGGCATAAGTATAAAAGTATATATGAAAGTTTTAAAGGGGGCAGTATTCTTTAATGCATAGTTAAAGATATATTTTGAAAATAATTCATTTTTATGTAATTATTTGCCTCTAGTGTACACTGCCATGGGGGACACTATCTAGTCTAAAATTAGAGAGTCGAAAAGATAGTGATGATGGTCCTATCATGTGGGTACGCCCAGGAGAACAAATGATCCCTGTGGCTGATATGCCAAAGTCACCTTTCAAAAGGAAAAGGTATGTTGGATATACAAATTTGTATTGCTGAGGATGGGTGTTTATATGTTTGGGTGTGTGTATGTGTTGAAAATTGGAGGGAGAAGGAGGGGAAGGTTTAGGGCATAACTGGAATGTAAATTTAAGAATGTCTATATATGTTGATATAATTTTTAAAAATGTACCAAATATAAATAAGATATGAGAAATGAAGGCAGATGACAATAATTTGTAATTAGAAATGGGAAAAATATCATTCACAGTAGAGACATAAACTATTTGGAATAAATTTAATAAATATTTAGAACCCATATTAAAAAAACTAAAACATCTTATCGAGGATATAAAATAAGATCTAAACAAATGGAAAACAGTACTGTATTTTAGATTGGGTAAAAATAATATTTCTTTGAAACTTAGTATTTCAATTGGACTGATATTTCTAGCATTGGATAAATGATTTAAAACTTTATAAAGAAGAATAAATAAAGCCAGCAAATAGCCAAGACAATTGAGAAAGAGAAGATAAGTGAGGGGCCCTTGTGTTATTAGATAATAAAAATTACTATAAAGTTCAAAAAGATCATTAGAATAGGATAGAGCACACAAATAGATAAAAGTACAGTGGGGCCTTGACTTACGAGTTTAATTCGTTCCGAGACCGAGCTTGTTAAGGAGCTCGTTAACTCAAATTACTTTGTCAATTCATTGCAAAAAAATCAGCTGAGAGACAGCTGGTATCTCAAAAAACTCGGGACACTCGTAAGTCAAGGACCCACTGTATATAGGGAAAGGGAATATTTATTCATGTGTAATGATGACATAATTGGCAGTCCATCTGAAAGGAAAAGCCATAGCTCCTACCTCATTAAGAAGTTTGATATTTAAACATAAGGTAAAAAATAAAAATAATAGAATAAAAGTTTGAAGCCTAGAAGAAACCTTTTTCAGCAAGATAAAAACTTATAATGGCAATAGTAGTGAGAAATTTTGGAGCAGATGACTTAAAATTTCCTTTCTCTGAATTATGTGATTATTCAATGCTTGTTGGCAGTTAAGCCTTAGTACATCAATACAAATGTTTGAGGGCAATTAATCCTTAACACATAGGCCTACCCCCAAACTTGTGGGCTTGAAAGCCTGTTAACTTCACACAGTAAGCAACATTATTATGTAGTTAGCTTTCTGATACCTATATAACATTAACCTCAAAGAGCAAAAAAGTATGTAATAGCATCATCGGTATTTGTGTGTAAGTTTGTAAAAAGACTGTAAGGCAGGATTACACAAAGAGCAGTTAAGGAGTAGAGATTGATGGTAAATTAGAGAACTAATAAGGATGAGACCCTAAGGCAGTGATGGCGAACCTATGACACACGTGTTAAATGGCATTTAAATATATAAAATAAATATCAAAAATATAAGTCTTTGTTTTATTATGGTTGCAAATATAAAAAAATTTCTATATGTGACACGGCACCAGAGTTAAGTTAGGGTTTTTCAAAATGCTGACACGCCAAGCTCAAAAGGTTCGCCATCACTGCCCTAAGGGATAGGCTAGCCTAAGGGATAGGCTAGGACAGTGATGGCGAACCTTTTGAGCTCGGCGTATCAGCATTTTGAAAAACCCTAACTTAACTCTGGTGCCGTGTCACATATAGAAATTTTTTGATATTTGCAACCATAATAAAACAAAGACTTATATTTTTGATATTTATTTTATATATTTAAATGCCATTTAACAAAGAAAAATCAACCAAAAAAAATGAGTTCGCGTGTCACCTCTGACACGTGTGTCATAGGTTCGCCATCACTGGGCTAGGATGAGAGGAGAATATTATGGGACAATCTGGATTTGTTTTTGGAAGTAACAGAAAAACCATACAGAAAGATAAATAAGACAATGATTCCCAATCAGAGAAATTCTTCTCAGTCTTTTCCTCTTCTACAGCAAATCGGAGAGGGTTTCTGCAGTGAGTGAGGCTAAGTAGTCAGCAGTTTCTTTGTGCATGTGGATTCTAGGTGTGAGCAGTAGAGAAGAGGGCCAATGTAAGAGGGAGCTAAGGTATTCCTTTCTATCCCCAATAAACCATGCGTGTTTTGTGGAAGTACTTATATGCTTGTTGTTTTCTTGGTATTTTTTTTTTGTCTTCCTTTCACCAGAATATAAACTTCCACCAGAGTAGGGAATTTATTTTATTCACTATTGTCTTGTTCACTAGCTTCAGTGCCTAAATAATACCTGACATATCGTAGGTGTTCTATAAATATTAATGCATTTTTAAAGTTATCTGATTGTTCCAGATATATACATTATGTTAGCCATGTGCCCTGATTGGGAACATGCTTCCTCAGGTTAGACCCAAACTTCAGGTAAAGATTCTGCATAGGGAAACCTGGGTAAACCACACCACCTGTAATTTGGTTTCTTATCTAAGTGTATGTTGCCTTAAAACTTCCACTTATGGCCCTGGCCGAAGGGTTCAGTTGGTTGGAGCATTGTCTGGTACACCAAAAGGTTGTGAGTTCGATTGCCAGTCAGGGCACATACCTAGGTTGCTGTTTTGATCTCCAGTAGGAGCGTGTACAGGAGACAACTGATTGATGTTTCTCACATCACTGTTTCCCTCTCTCTCTTTCCCTTCCTCTCTCTCTCTCAAAATCAATAAAAACATATCCTTAGGTGAGGAATAAAAACAAAAAGAACTTCCAGTTATGAAGGATGTGTTAAGAAAAGGAGTGGATTATATATGTGTTCTTGTTTATATGTGTTCATTTGAAAAATAAAACTTAATTTTGGAGCAGATGAAATTTCCTTTCTCTGAATTATGTGATTACTCAATGCTTGTTGGCAGTTAAGCCTTAGTACATCAATACAAATATTTGAGGGCAATTAATCCTTAACACATAAGCCTACCCCCATCTATATAAAATATAAGTGTAATTTTTTTTTAAACAGAACTACCAATGAAATAAAAAACCTGCAGTACCTACCTCGAACTAGTGAGCCCCGTGAGATGCTCTTTGAAGACAGGACAAGAGCTCATGCAGATCATATAGGACAAGGTTTTGAACGACAGACTACAGCTGCAGTTGGAGTGTTGAAGGCTGTGCACTGTGGAGAGTGGTATATATTAACTACTGCTATTTTAATGAAATGTTTTCTTGGCTTCTAAATTTTTTCTTGGAAAGTTTCTCGATCATTCTCCTTTCGGGGGGCAGGGGGGGGGATTTTATTTTCCCTAAAGTTGGATATTTTAACTGCACTGAAAAATATTTTCAATGACTAGAACCTAGTTTTATTTAGTCTTTTGGGTTTGACTGAAGTAATTTTATTTTCCAAGTAACTGTAGGTGAAAACAATGATCCTATCCAAGGTAAAAGGAAAAACTAAGATTCACTTAGTGCTTACTATATGCCTTTTTACAAATGTTGATTTGATTTTTATCAGCTACTTCTAGGCCCATATTTATCACACAAGGAAACTGAGGCTCAAGGCTGTGAAATAACATTATCATAGTTATAGAGTTAATAAATGGTAGAGCTGAGACTGATTTCAGATCTGAATCCAGCCAGACTCTTATGTTTTCTCTTTATACTATTCTACCTTGCTGCTCCCTGCTAAGATTTAGTATAATAATTTTTACAAATTTCACTTTGAATCTTTTTAAAGATTAAGAAAATGGATAAGTCTCTTTAATATACTTAAGGTATCATCCCATAATTAAGAAAATTTCCATTTATTGATAAAAAAAACATATAGCAAAGCTCTTGATATTGTAAGATATGTTTGCTCTCTTAAGTTTTTGTTTTCAAACTGAGTACTGTTTAGGTATGAAACCTAAGTTGGAATATGTTATTTTCTCAACAAAGTAGCTAGTACTGAATTAACCCTAAGAGATCCTTAAGAAAACAGTATTAATAGTTAATAATTCAATAATAATTGAATTGTGTTTAACTTAAATGTTAATTTTCAAATATTTGTGGTTATTTCCATATAGCTTCTATGCTCTTCCTGTAATCTGGAAATCCTTACAAACTCCTATTTCAAATTAATGAAATTTCTCTTGAATGTTTGGTAAAAAGGATTTAAGAATGGCATCAAGAATTATTTAGAGTGAAATCTAGTGTTCAGTAAAGTTAGCTACATATTTACACTTTCTTTCAAAGATAAATATTCCTGTTTCATGGCCTTAGCACTTTGGTAAAATCTCTTAAGCTTCTTTAAGTTATTGTTGGTATGTATGCCCTCCTTCACTATGTATTTGATTTGAGGTTAGAGATTGTATTCTATCCTTCATGGGCCCATCATAGTTCCCAATAAATATCTATTGAATAAAAAAACACTTTTGTGGCTAGCAATTTCATAGTATAGAGACTATTGCAAAACTACTATACTAATAAGTTAGGTGTCCAGATTTAAGAATATACTTGAGACAGATTTTGGAATGAGATATTACTAGCTTTGAGTTTTCCCACTATTGTAAAATACAATTTGCTTCCTATATTAAAGATGGCAAGAAAATAATTTTGTTCGTGCTATAAGAGGGCTTCTTGGCTCTGATGCAAGCATGGCTTGCCCTAACCGGTTTGGCACAGTGGATAGAGCGTCGGCCTGGGGACTGAAGGGTCCCAGGTTCGATTCCGGTCAGGGGCATGTACCTTGGTTGCGGGCATATCCCCAGTAGGGTGTGTGCAGGAGGCAGCTGATCGATGTTTCTCTCATCGATGTTTCTAACTCTCTATCCCTCTCCCTTCCTCTCTGTAAAAAATCAATAAAACTTAATAAAAATAACAACAAACATGGCTCATGATCCCTTTAGTATTATTCCTTGGTGTTGTTGAATTAAACTGTACTAAGTTGGTACTTTCTTTTTTCCCTTAGTGTTTTGAATTCTGCTCTTTTTCTCAAGAAGAAATGAGGTATTAGAGTCTTAGATTCTTGACTTTATCTTAGAGCCAGGCTTAATACCAATTTGAAATAAAAGACCAGTATTGATTTAGACTTTATAGAAATCATCAGCTAGATAGGCTTATGAAGTATTGATCAAATTATACCACTCTAGGTATTATGAAGGATTCATATACAGGGTGGAGCAAAAGTAGGTTTACAGTTTGTATGGAAAGTAATTCGATAATTAATAAAAAATGGTAATACAAGAATAAACTCTGTTTTGTGTACTTATAACTGTAAAATTACATTTGCTCTACCCTGTAGATTTATTTTTAAAAAATATATTTTTATTGATTTCAGAGAGGAAAGAGAGGGAGAGAGAAATAGAAACATCAATGATGAGAGAGAATCATTGATTGCCTGCCTCCTGCACACCCCACACTTGGGATCGAGCCCTCAACCTGGGCTTATGCCCTGACCTGGAATCCAACTGTGATGACCTGGTTCATAGGTCGTTGCTCTGAGCCACACCACCTGGCCACCTGGTAGATTTATATATTTGAGGTTGCTTCTTTGAAATCCAATTTTTAAAAAATCCAATCATCTATAATAATAAAAGGGTAATATGCTAATTAGACCAGATATCCTTCTGGACAAAGCCGGGGCTGGAGGGAAGCCCCCTGGGTCCCGGGTGCCTTGCCGACGGCTGGAGGGAAGCCAGTACCAGCAGCTGGGGGAAGGAAGGCCTACTCTTGCACAAATTTTTGTGCATCGGGCCTCTAGTTGAAGTATAATTTACATTGAATAACATATACACACATTCATTATAAATATAGAGTTTGTTGTACATTTGAGAAATGTATATAGGCATGTTACCACTACCACAAATAAGATAATAGAACATTTTGTTTCCTTCATATCCCTTGGCAGTTAATCTCCCCCGTCCTTACCTCAGCTCCAGACATTCTTTTTTTTTTTTTTTTTAAATATATTTTATTGTTTTTTTTACAGAGAGAAAGGGAGAGGGATAGAGAGTCAGAAACATTGATGAGAGAGAAACATCAATTCAGCTACCTCCCACACACTCCCCAGTGAGGATGTGCCTGCAACCAAGGTACATGCCCTTGACTGGAATCGAACCCGGGACCCTACAGTCCGCAGACCGACGCTCTATCCACCGAGCCAAACCAGTTAGGGCCAGACATTCTTTAATCTTTTTGTTTGTTTGTTTGTTTTTGCCTTCAAAGGTTAGTATTACCTCCGTAAATAGAATCATACATGATGCCTGATTTCTTTCACTTAGCATAATGTTTTTGAGGTTCAGCTAAGTTGTTACATGTATTAGTAGTTCATTCCTCAAGTCTACAAAAGAAGCACTAGAATTAATAAGCAAATGTATCAGTCTTGGGATAAGACAATATTGAAAGTCAATTGTATTTCTATATATCAGCAATAAACATTTGGAAAATGTAATAGAAAAATAATACCACACAATAGTAGTATAAAAACCTGAAGTAGAGATAAATTTTAAAAATATAAGACAGATGCTAAAAACTCTAAGACACTAATGAGAAAAATTAAGGACTTTCATATATGTAGTGATATACCTTCTTTATAGATTGGAAGACTCTATATTGTGTCATTTCCTTCCCAAATGATCTATAGATCAACTTAATCCTAATAAAATCTAACACGTTTTTTTTAAAAATATTTTTTTAGCCCTAGCTGGTTTGGCTCACTGGATAGAGCGTTGGCCTGGGGACTGAAGGGTCCCAGGTTCGATTCCAGTCAAGGGCATGTACCTTGGTTGCAGGCATATCCCCAGTAGGGGGTGTGCAGGAGGCAGCTGATCGATGCTTCTCTCTCATCGATGTTTCTAACTCTCTATCCCTCTCCCTTCCTCTCTGTAAAAAATCAATAAAATTATTTTAAAAATATATTTTTTTATTGATTTCAGAGAGGAAGGGGGGGGGAGAGATAGAAACATCAATGATTTGACAGAATCATTGATTGGCTGCCTCCCGCAGGCCCCCTACTGGGGATCAAGCTCGCAACCTGGTCATGTGCCCTTGACAGGAATCGAACCTGGGACTTTTCAGTCCGTAGGCCAAAGTTCTATCCACTGAGCCAAACCAGCTAGGGCTAATACGGTTTTCTTATTTAAATACAAAGAACCTAGGCAAAACAGTCTTGGAGAGATGGAGGGAGAATAATGTTGGAGGATTTACACTACACTGCCTGTCATTTTACTAGTAAAGCTTACTTTGAAGCAACAGTAAATAAGAGAGGGTGGTATTGGTATAAAGATAAACTTTAAGATTAATGGAACAGAATAGTGTCCAGTGTTCATTGATTTTTTTTAGTGAAGAGGCCAAAATAATTCACTGGGGAAAAAGAGTCTTTTCAAGAAATGATGCTGGAACAACAGGGTATCCATACACAAAAACAAAAATTAAAAAATAATGAGCCTTGACTTTTATCTCACACAATACAAAAATATTAAAATGGATCATAGAAATAAATGTAACCATTAAAACTATAAAACTTGTAGAATAAAACATTGGAGAAAATTTTGCACTAGGCAAAAATTTCATGAAACATAAGAGAAAATGATATCATTAAGATAATGAAAAGTGGGCTACAGACTAGGGGAAAATATTTGAAGTGTGTGTGTGTGTGCATATGTGTGAATGACATGTATCCAAATATATAAAGAATTCTTACTATTCAAAAATAAGAACACAATCCAATTAAAATTGGACAAATATTTGAACAGGCATTTTACAAAAGATACACAAATGTTCTTTTTTTTTTTTTTAAGGAAAGAACTTGTTCTTCTTTTCTAATATAAGTATTTAAAACTAAATTTCTAAACACTGTGTTAGCTATATTCCACATATACTGATGTTGTGTTTTAATTATTATACTAGAGGCCCAGTGCATGAATTCGTGCATGGGTGGGGTCCGGCTGGCCCGGCCCCAGTCAGCGGTTCGGGACCAGGCCAGTTGGGAGGAGGAGACAGTGGGGGGCCGGCTGGGGGAGGGGCCACGGGTGATTGGCCGGTGGGCCCCACCCCTGATTGGGGTGGGGGGCGATTTGGTGCAGGGCCAGCCATAGGGAGGGGCAGTGGGTCAGCCAGCCCTGCCCCTGAATGGGGCCAGGGGAGGTTGGCCGGCCAGCCCCACCCCCGATTGGTCTGGGGAGCAGGCTGGGGGGAGGGTCCACAGG